GATTCTTGGAGAAGGCGCTAGCTTTGAATATTAAATATTTTGGTGCCAAGTCTCTGAAAGTTGCGGTGAGTTACCATCTAGTAGCACGGACACAGAGCTGCATGGGCAACTTTAGAACGGCGTTGATTAATGAAAAGGAAGCTTATGCTATCTACAAGCAACAGTTGGGTGATTCGCATGAAAAGACTAAGGAATCATCCGAATGCCTCAAACATCTCACGCACCAAGCTGTCGTCTTGCAGAAGAAGATGAACGAGATTTATACTGGAAAGAATGGTGCATCGCTTCCTCCAATTCAAATTCAGCCGCCATCGATGGGCTCAGTTCTGGATATGTTGAATGTCATCAATGGAATTCTCTTCGTTCAGATCAGGTGAGTTTTTGGTTGCTGCCGCGATATATTTTAGAGTATCGGGTTTTTAGTTCTGAAGACGAGCATTTTCGTCAAGTCTATGCAGTTCCCCGCAATGTGCATTTATGTATTCCTGTATATTGACCTTGCCTACGAGTAGAATCAACAACATTTCAAGATCATGTCCTTTTTTTCATCATTCGCTCAATACATACTAAATTTATTGTTCGAACGGTCTTTTAATGCATTGTGTGTTACAGCCAAGAAGATATCGAAAACTTTAAGAAGGAATTTGAAAAGCAGCAAAACGAAGAGACTCCTGAATCAGATGCAACCGCTGCGCCGACTACATTACCCATCACACCAGCAATTCCTACACCCCAGGAGGTGGCGGCCGCCGAATGATGGCGTTCTCTACAATTACTGCAGTCCAGACCAATTCATCCCCTTAAGCTTGGATTATTCTCAAAGTGACGTGGCATTCACCCTCATTTCTTCCCTTTATAGCATGTAGACTTGAGTTTCGATAGTTTGATAGTTTTTCGACATGACGCAACAAAATGTGTATCTTCTTATCGTTAGTAAGTTTCGTAGTAGTGGAAATATTTAGTGAGAGAATCTACTTCTTTTTTATATAAGACTCGTTCTCGTATATCTCACATGCGAATATCATGTACAAAGAGGGCGCTACGACGTGAGATCAATATACATTTACATATGTGTAAAACACGCAATAACTAATGTACAAAGTCACACACTAGTCATGACGAGTCCCCAAAAATTAACAACACGTGTAATGTGTACTTCTAATCGACTCTAAGTCATTGAACAAAGCGGCACTTTTTTTAAGTTGAGCGTTACCAAGAGAATTAAAGTGAGTGCCATTTTTTTCAACTTGAACATTGCCAAAAAACATACGTCAAAGAATACATGCGCGACTATGCGGAACAATTAACAACACTACCATGAATCGATTGTTTTGTTAATGTTAATTGATCGTGAATCGGATGTTTCATTAATTAGCCGATTCGATTGTTATTGTTGATCAATGCGGGCGCGCTGAACGCAAGCGTGGTGCGTTGTGTGTGTAAATTGGTGCGAGGGCAAGCAGCAAACGTAAAAAGAAGTTGTAGATTATGCATATAAGTAATTCAATAAAGGTGCGCCGTGTTTTCAGGTGCAATTTTCTAAAATCTATGTTATTTTACGTTTACATCTTCTGGAAGAGTTCTGAAATGTCCGTCGAAATATTTGCTTAAAACTTCTGTAGGTGTGGATGGGTGGCTCGTATCTCTAGTAGTAATGGAACAATTTAGAGTCTAAATTTGAGAGTTTAAGAATTCGTTTGTAATCTGTGTACCTTCCCGTCCCTTTAAGCACAATATCGGTCAAAATTTAATATTACTTCAACAGTTATAAAAGTGGGAGTGGAAAACAGCCGGTAACAAGGGAACAACTAATGCTGTCCTATGGTACTATAATAGTTTAAGACTCCCTTTATAACATCCGCAGCTTTTTGCCTATTTAAACTCGAAATTGCCTATTTGAACTTCGAAAAGTAGGCGTGTAAAACGACCCATATCTCTTGCAGCAATTGAAAATTTTAGATTATTTAGAGTTCCTATGATAGTTTTACAGTTTCTTTATAACGTCTGTACCTGCTCGTTCCTTTAAATCCTTGGAAAGTGCTTTAAAATGCGGGTTAAAATTTGATATTTCTGTTAAAGTTCTAAAAATGGGAATGGAAAACAGTCGGTATCTCCTGTAATAATTGAACAATTTAGGATATTTTACTGTCATATGATAGAGTCCCTTTTCAATGTATGCTCCTTTTTGACCTTTTAAACTCCGCAGATGTGCCTTTAAATGACCAATCGAATTAGCTATTTATTTCACTAGTTTTCTTAATTTGGTCGAAAGACAGGGTCAAACTAATTCGATAAAATTAATTTTGCTTGAAAGACAAGGTCGAATTTATACCATACAATTATTTTCGGTCGAAAGATGTTTCGATGCAATTCACGGTTATCGGGGTTTGTGTATAAACAACTTTTTTATCGCGTTGAACCAGCTCTATGCTGCGCTAGCGCTACGAATGTTCGAACGCTTCAGTCTGTTCTTATCTACACGTGGCTCGTCACTTTCCTTCTTTCATTTAAAGTAACTTAATTGCATTAGTTTTATTGTTATAAATCGGCATAAATACGGGCACTTAATGACAATAATCGTGTTTAGTGCTCTTCTAACGATGCGAATTGTGCGTGAAATAATTATAAAACTTGTGCCTTCATTTGAGTGTTTGTGACCCGTCGGCAAATGGATTATTCCGATGCCGAGAAGTAGAAATGAAAATATGTTTACAATTGTTATTTTGAGTGAGTGTAATTAACGTATATAGGTACCCGACCGGATTTCACTTGCAATTATGCATGTCTATTTGCTCGCAAAGATCGGTCCATTGTCTTTCAAAATATCGTTTGCAATGCAAGACCATTAACCGACAGAATGGACTTAATTCTCCTCAGTGTGCTCAGCATAGTGCGATTTCTAACACCCGTGTTCTTTCTGTTTCAGTACTTTCTTGACCTGCCCGCTATATTAGCATGTTTGTAAATATTATTAATGCATTGCCACATTTTGTCTTTAACCGAGCGTACGATTATAACTCAAAATTGTCGCGTCGGCTGCGTTAACGGTCTCGATGTTGAAAATGGTTTTCATGGATGGTTCAGCTCACATTCTTCTTTTTGTAATATTAATTCTATACTAGCTTTAACGCGTTTAGCAGTCACAATTAATTGATGCTTGTATATTATTTGTAAAACACGATTTCAATATCCTTCCGCGTTTGCGTGTGCGACACTCTAAAGATTGGGGCGCAAAATTACTTTTCTTGCGTTTGAATGAAAAATGACCAAATTTGTTGTTCCTACGTGTTTTTCTTTTAGTGTGCTTTTAGTACCTACTTGTGATTGTATTTATAAATATAGTAATTTACTTTTCGTAACACCCTGTATGTTTGTTCTTCTAGCTTTCGATATAAGAACAGTTTATTGTTTTCGAATGTTTTTCGTCTTACTTGGAAGTTTCTTTTGTAATGTAGTGCTTTGTTGTGACACCCTGTATATTAGTTTTCTGTGCGCTCACATAAAAGGTGGCTATGACATATGTTTTTTCTTCTTGCACTTTTGGTTTTATTTTAAAATAATATCTTTTTGTAACGCTCTGTATATGTTTTTACTTGCACTGTGATTTTTTCTATAAAATTTTAGTACTTTCTTTTTGAAACACCCTGTATATAAATTTTCCACAGTAGTGAATATATGTTTTCCTGTTTGATCTTTGAATAGTTTTTTTTTTAATAATATTGCTCTTTTAACACCCTGTAGAGTTGTTTTACGTAAGATGAGAACACTTGGGACTGCTATGTGTTTTCCTTTGTGAATTTCGGTTCCTGTCGTACTTGTCTGTATTTACCGGCGTATGCTAGTTGTAAGACTTGTTTCAAAATGTCGACATGTATTTTGTAAGAATTGTGTATTCAAGTTTTGAATTTTATGAATATTATAATAAAGAAGTGTTAAGAAATATTATGTCTTATGCTTTGAATGTACCCCTTCTATCATTTCAGGAACAGGTCTCTAAGAGAGTTCCCTCTCTCAGGGGATGATCCCCACTATAAAAATTGTTAAGGTATCTTGTGTGATTTGTGTGCTCCTTCTTTCATTTCAGCTACAGGTCAGAACTTGTAAGAATATTTTTAAGTGTCACCTCTCCTGAGGCGACTTAAAACTTAGAAATATTTGAACAAGACCTTATAAGGATTGTCCTTATAAGGAGTTCCCTCTCTCTGGGGGTGATCCCCCACCATAAAAATTGTTGATATGCCTGATAATTTCGGGGATGAAGCGCAGAGACATCGTAGCTGTAGGATGGGCCGGGAGCAATGGACGCATCGAAGCAGTGGGCGATCGACCAGAGCGCCTTCGGCGCTCTGGGAGAGCGACCTTAGACTGTCTAACGACACGGGCCAAAAAATTTAAAAATCTGATCTACTCCTGTTGCTCTTTCTTCTATCTCCTCCTCTTCTCTACTCTACTATTTGTTCTCTTCTTTCTATCTTCTCTACTACTCCTTCTTCTTCTATTTCTCTGTTCTCCGTTTCTCCACTTGCTGCTTTCTTATTTCTCATATTGCCTTCACTTGTATTTCGTTGCAATTCATATATGCAACCCAAATTACACCTGATATTTTTATATTTGAGAAAAATGCCTTCTATACCTGAGATTCGATCCGTGTCTGCTAGCATGCCAACAGGTGCACGTCTCCACTCGACCACCGAGTGCTTTTATCATTAATATTTGATTCTTCTATTTATGTTTCTATTTTTATCATGTTTTTAAAAACAACAACACAAGCCTTAGCTGTGTTGCACTCGTTCCACGCGTACTCGTATATCTATATCGATATGTGTGAAACGCTCATATACTGAAAACGGCAAAGAGGATACCATAAACAAATATGAATTTGATATTCATTTATATTAAGTTTATTTTATTGACAACATTTACAAATACAAACAGTTTTTATATAGAAAAATATCGACAAATAATAAATGCCGCGGAACACTTGCCTTACAATATGCGCACATTTGCAACTCTTCTGCGATGAATATTCGGAACTCCAAGGCTGTTGGAAGTGTAAACTTCTTCTCTGGGCACATCCGTTGTCTACTTATTCGAATTAAACAAATTAAAGTTATTGTGGGCGATAACCGACAGCCGACGGCATGCACGCCGTGCACATGCAGGCCAACACGAGTACAGTATAATCCACACGCGAAAAATAATCTCCGACGGCCGACAGTAGTTCACTCGTGCTTATTATCTGGCGAAATTCCGTTCACGCGCAATTCTAATAAATGTCGTCGATTGCTTATTGAATACAAATCGATTTACGATCAACTTATAATAGGGAGAAATAAAACTAGTCGCGATGAACACGCGTGGTTCGCTCGGCAACTGGAATGGAACTGAATGCGCGCTCTGAAACGACCACGCGGTGTTGCTATTGGCTCATTGTTTACATGCATACAAATATTCTTCTATCTAAACTATACCTGGATAACAGTGTAATATTGTCACAGCTAGCACACTAGGCAGTATTTCTACGGCGCTTCCAACTACAGCTAATTAATTGCAAGATGAAGACCATTTTCGGAAGCAAATAAAATTTTTAAAAACAATTCAGTTTACTATTAGTGCGACTAACGGACAATTCATATTTATATAGTTATTATATAATTATAAATGTACATATTTCAATTATTTTTCAAATTCTGGTAGTAACTAGATAACATTTGCCAGGCTTTCATTTTTTCGAGTCAATTCGTGAGCTAATCACCGAAGTTATCTATGAAAATGATAAAGAAATTTAACACTTACAATGTGATGAAAGAATGGTTTTTGTGCGATGCATAGATCAGGTGCCAAATCCCTAAAATCATCAAAAATTAGTCATTTGGAACACAAAAATGCAATTTTTAGGGTCAATTTTTGAGATAAATAAAAAAGTTATGGATGAAAATGATAAAGAAATTAAATACTTACAATCTGTTAAAAAATGGTTCTTGTATGATGCAGAGATCAGGCGCAAAATCCCTAAAACTATAAAAAATTAGTCCTTCACAACACAAAAATGCAATATTTAGGGTCAATTTATGAGATAATTGCAAAAGTTATTTATGCAAATGATAAGGAAACTAAATACCTACAATCTGGTATAAAAATGGTCCATGTACGATGCAGACATCAGGCGCAAAATCCCTAAAACTATAAAAAATTAGTCCTTCGCAACACAAAAATGCAATATTTAGGGTCAATTTATGAGATAATTGCAAAAGTTATTTATGCAAATGATAAGGAAACTAAATACCTACAATCTGCTACAAAAATGGTCCTTGCACGATGCAGACATCAGGTGCAAAATCCCTAAAACTATAAAAAATTAGTCCTTCGCAACACAAAAATGCAATTTTTAGGTTTAATTTGTGAGATAATTACAAAAGTTATTTATGCAAATGATAAAGAAATTAAATACCTACAATCTGGTGAAAAAATGGTCCTTGTACGATGCAGAGATCAGGCGCAAAATCTCTAAAACTATTAAAAATTAGTCCTTCGCAACACAAAAATGCAATTTTTAGGGTCAATTTGTGAGATAATTGCAAAAGTTATTTATGCAAATGATAAAGAAATTAAATACCTACAATCTGGTGAAAAAATGGTCCTTGTACGATGCAGAGATCAGGCGCAAAATCTCTAAAACTATTAAAAATTAGTACTTCGCAACACAAAAATGCAATTTTTAGGGTCAATTTGTGAGATAATTGCAAAAGTTATTTATGAAAATGATAAGGAAATTAAATACCTACAATCTGGTATAAAAATGGTCCATGTACGATGCAGACATCAGGCGCAAAATCCCTAAAACTATAAAAAATTAGTCCTTTGCAACACAAATATGCAATTTTTAGGGTCAATTTGTGAGATAATTACAAAAGCTTTTTATGAAAATGATAAAGAAATTAAATACCTACAATCTGGTGAAAGAATGGTTTCCGTACGATGCAGGGATCTGGTGCAAAATCCCTAAAATCATCAAAAATTAGTCCTTTGCAATACAAAAATGCAATTTTTAGGGTCAATTCGAGAGATAATTACAAAAGTTATCTATGAAAATGATAAAGAAATTAAATACCTACAATCTGGTGAAAAAATGGTTCTTGTAAGATGCAGAGATCAGGCGCAAAATCTCTAAAACTATTAAAAATTAGTCCTTCGCAACACAAAAATGCAATTTTTAGGGTCAATTTGTGAGATAATTGCAAAAGTTATTTATGCAAATGATAAGGAAATTAAATACCTAAAATCTGGTGAAAAAATGGTCCTTGTATGATGCAGAGATCAGGCGCAAAATCCCTAAAACTATAAAAAATTAGTCCTTTGCAACACAAGAATGCAATTTTTAGGGTCAATTTGCGAGATAATTACAAAAGTTATTTATGGAAATAATAAAGAAATTAAATACCTACAATCTGCTACAAAAATGGTCCTTGTAAGATACAGACATCAGGTGCAAAATCCCTAAAACTATAAAAAATAAGTCCTTCGCAACACAAAAATGCAATTTTTAGGGTTAACTCGTGAGATAATCACAAAAGGTATGTATGAAAATGATAAAGAAATTAAATACCTACAATCTGGTGAAAAAATGGTCCTTGTACGATGCAGAGATCAGGCGCAAAATCTCTAAAACGATTAAAAATTAGTCCTTCGCAACACAAAAATTCAATTTTTAGGGTCAATTTGTGAGATAATTGCAAAAGTTATTTATGCAAATGATAAGGAAATTAAATACCTACAATCTGGTATAAAAATGGTCCATGTACGATGCAGACATCAGGCGCAAAATCCCTAAAACTATAAAAAATTAGTCCTTTGCAACACAAATATGCAATTTTTAGGGTCAATTTGTGAGATAATTACAAAAGTTATTTATGGAAATAATAAAGAAATTAAATACCTATAATTTGGTACAAAAATGGTCCTTGTACGATGCAGACATCAGGCGCAAAATCCCTAAAACTATAAAAAATTAGTCCTTCGCAACACAAAAATGCAATTTTTAGGGTCAATTTGTGAGATAATTACAAAAGCTTTTTATGAAAATGATAAAGAAATTAAATACCTACAATCTGGTGAAAGAATGGTTTCCGTACGATGCAGGGATCTGGTGCAAAATCCCTAAAATCATCAAAAATTAGTCCTTTGCAATACAAAAATGCAATTTTTAGGGTCAATTCGTGAGATAATCACAAAAGTTATGTATGAAAATAATAAAGAAATTCAATACTTACAATCTGATGAAAGAATGGTTTCCGTACGATGCAAGAATCTGGTGCAAAATCCCTAAAATCATCAAAAATTAGTCCTTTGCAACACAAAAATTCAATTTTTAAGGTCAATTCGTGAGATAAATACACAGGTTATCTATGAAAATGATTAAGAAATTCAATACTCACAATCCGTTAGAAGAATGGTTTTTGTGCGATGCATAGATCAGGTGCAAAATCCCTAAAATCATCAAAAATTAGTCATTTGGAACACAAAAATGCAATTTTTAGGGTCAATTCGTGTGATAATTACACAAGTTATCTATGAAAATGATAAAGAAATTCAATACTTACAATCTGACGAAGAATGGTATTTGTGTTATGCATGGATCAGGTTCAAAATCCCAAAAATCCCAAAAAATTTTTGCCCATTTTATTCAATCGCGAATATCTCGTAAACTAAAAGAGATAAATAGGATCTGATCGCAGCGTCTTAATCTACGGACTATTCTCTATCAGATAGGTTAGTTAAAACTGAAATCTGAGAGATAAAATTTTAATTCTGAAGAAGAAATTGCCAAGGGGGTGCTTGATACTTTTTTCGACGATTTTTGATAATTAATATCTCTTAAACTAAAAGCGATAGCTACGAACGAACTGTTGATTATGAAAGATTGGAAAATTCTCTATCAGATAAAAATATAACATAATTATATTTCCTACAGTAAGAGGTCGAAATACGCGACTAGAAGTGCTCAAAAGTGACATTTCTCAATTTTTGCCCATTTTATTCAATCGCGAATATCTCGTAAACTAAAAGAGATAAATAGGATCTGATCGCAGCGTCTTAATCTACGGACTATTCTCTATCAGGTAGGATAGTTAAAACGGAAGTCTGTGAAATGAAATTTCAATTCTTAAGAAAAATGGCCAAGGGGGTGCTTGATACTTTTTTGACGATTTTTGATAATTAATATCTCTTAAACTAAAAGCGATAGCTACTAACGAATTGTTGATTATGAAAGATTGGAAAATTCTCTATCAGATACAGTAAAAGGTCGAAAGGTTGATAGATTATCAAGCAAGATAGATTATGGTAAATTGAAAAATTCTCTATCTGATGGAAATTTCAAATAATTTAATTTCATGAGGTAAATAATATATAAACGCGACCGAAAGTGCTAAAATTGCAATCACAACAACAACAACACAAAATGAAAAATGAAAATGATTAAAATTAAATGAAAAGAAATTCTATACTTACAATCTGATGAAAGAATGGTTATCGTACCGTAAAGTAGATACTATTAAATCATTTAGTTTGTGAGTTCAATTTCTTGTGCCATTCTCAAAAATTCATCCATGTTTGTAATATTTGGATCCTTGTTGCACTGGAATTCGACCGATTTTCTTCTGGAATATGGTTGTCTTTTGTTTAATCAGTTTGCACATAATATTTTATATTTATTAAATCTTTCATGACGTCCTGTGTTCATTAGTATTCGCAAATAAACATTTGTTTGAATTGCATTTAACAATTAACCGTATCAGCGTACACTTTACCGAGTAATATCATTGTAAACGTGACAATAACACCCGGACTATCCGACCTCAAAAACGGACTTGGTTGAACTGTCTGTAGAATCTACAGCGCGTTGTATATGTACAAACCTGCTTCGTATCGGGGTGCTGATGCAGCAAATGCACAAAGGAAGGTGACTTGTGAGTTGGTTATCAGTGCATTTGTTTAAATCCACACACTCAGCGATAAATACAAGTTTATATTATTACACCAAGTCAAAATCAATTTGTAATTCATAATAAATAATACTTAAAATATCTAATAGGTTTATTTTACTTTATAAAATAATATAATATTTAGCATTATGTTCAGCAACAGAAATTTTATAATTTGAAAAATTTTTAAAATTTCTCTCCTCAAATTAATATATAGATAGGATTATGCTATTCGAGCACAATAAAGTATAAACAAACTTGGTCCTGTTTTCAAGCATACAAATAAGCAATGAAATTATTTCATGTTTACTGGACTGGACTATACTATAGTATAGTATATATTTTAATCGGTTTACTCAGTTATAAGTCCTTTGAGAAGGACTGATGTTAAATAACATTACATAAATAATCAGCCAAATAAATACCAATTTTGTTAGCATTATAACTTAGAATAAATAAGAAATATCCAATTTCCGGTCCAATTACATCAATAACCAAACAACTAAGTAAAATATTTAAGTAAATTTCACTTTTACTTGCAGAATATATCATGTGTTCTCAACGCGTTGATTTAATGCACTTGTTGTCAAAATTATTCGGATTTTCGCCATATGATTTCAAATCAACTGCTACTGTACGAAATTCAAAATGGCATCGTTTGCATTTGTTTACTTTATTATTTATGTTTTGTATTTTATCGTTTTATAACCGAATTTACAAAGCAAGAAGTAAGTTTCTTGCAGAAAACCCAAATCGATCATTGACACTGAAAAATTATATATATTTTGCGAATTCAGCATTGACAACAATCATCATATGCACGCAAACCATCAAAAACTATACTGGACGTTACAAAATAGTCGCACTCATAAATAATCTTAACGCTACTCAAAGATCAAATAATCACAATAACAAAGTAAAAAATGTTGGAAAGTCTTTATTTCTGTTGATGATTGTTGTATTTTTATTTTACATTAATTATAAAGTGCATATAAGTTGGTACTCACGACTGAGCAACTTTGCAATCGAAACGTTTATTGAAATGGTTTCTTTTCTGGATGCGTTGGTATATTACGAACGGATGCAGCTACTGGAGGAAGGATACAAGCGACTTATTGAGGATATGGAAGAAAATCAATATTATTACGAACAAAATAACAAGAACACCGTAAGGCAAGTTACAAATATCAAAAGGCATCGTTTTTTGCGGTTAAGTGCATACGCCTACAAGTTAGATCGACATCATCGCATCAATGTGTCAGCTATAATAATTTTCGTCTTTTTATGGACCACATTCGATGCATATATGTTCTGTAAAGTTTGGATAGAGAATCCGAGTACAAAAGTGACAGATTTCTCTCGATGCCTGCCTGGGATGTTTTTACATGGCTTAAAACTGGCCATTTTAGTGGCGAAACCACCACAATGTAAATATCAAGCAGACAAATGTGCCGCCATCTTGGCAAGGCCGGAAAATTACGTTGTAAGTCTCTTTTGTATTCAACTATTCAAGCATGATATTTAAAGAGATATAGCTGTTCGCTTAGGAATTACATGCACTCAATATTATTAGAATATTGTAAATGCATAATTAAATTTCGTACGTCGTTGTTGAGTTTATTAATTAAGTCCTCACTTCTTGCATTTCTTGTGCGGATGTTAGCATATGCACAACGTCAACGCAGATAAAGCGGATTATTAGTTGATTAATTAATTACGCGCTTAATTAATTTAATAAACCCGTTTTCGTGTGCAGGTCGTCGGCGAACTGCGCTTCCCCGTCGATGTGCAGTTTTACAGTTACAACAAATGGTTCGTTATCGATTATCAGTTTTTTGCTTCGGTAAGTAGAAAAGAAAAAAGAAAAATAAACCTAAATAACAAGGTGCTTCGATATAGTAGACGTATGCACGCTAAGTTTTAGTAATCTGTATCAAGAAGCAACAAATTAACAGTGTGCTTATAGTTTAGGTAAATTATTGACAAATTGATGCACTTGCCTGATTTCTTAATTAATTTGTTTGTGCGTGAGATAAATAGTCTAGGAACAAATTTTCTTTTTTCTTTTATTTAAAACTAGATATAAGGGTAAAAATGCTGGTATCACCACCCTGAGGTGTCAGGAAGCAACATGTAATGCATCTTGGGTTGCATACAGTATTGCCTGAAAACACATACTAAATATTTAAATAGTATTTTCTCACTTTTTAGATGTTTGGAACGGTGATTACATACATGGCAATTTTGTATGAGTTCAGCAGCGATATAACTCCGAATAATTAATTATAATAGTTGTGAAGAAGAAAAACGTTTTGATCAATAGCACATAAAAAAATTCTGTCGCATTTATAGATTCCGATTTTATGATTTATATGAAGTTTATAATACATTACAATTCAATTTGCAAAGAAATAGAAACACAACATAAAAATAAAAACACAATGATTGATATGATATGCAATCATCAATCAATGTAGAAGAAATGTGAATATGCAATTGGTAATAAATATAAATAATAGCCGATTCCATAACAATATAAATTTACTTTTAGACAATTTAGAATTATGTTTAATTTTTGACACTAGAAGAAAACATGACTTTAATTTTATTTAAAAAATTCAACGAAGAAGATAAATTTATGTTTATTATTGTTCTATTCGTAATAAATATAACATACCACAATACGAATATTAAAATTATTAAGACAAAACTGTTGTGCATATTACAGGTGCTGCAGGTTCTTAATAAGCATGCAGTGCTAAACTCAGGAGGATGTTCTAAACGCCCATAAACCAACGTTAATTGTCACATCACTGTCAATGCACTCCATTAAAATCGTCTTAGGAATATTTTGGTGCTCGTAACCTACCTTTACGTCCACTACAATGCGAGTTCATTTAATATTAAACCATTACCAATAGTTTAAACACTTTAAACTCGCTACAAAGATGCAATATAAGGCATTAAAAGACCAAAACATGCATGTTGAAGTTTGAGTTCGTCGACAAAATTCATTCTCTCACGTATTAAGTTTTCTGTTTGTGGGTAATATTTGGTGCCATGTAGAAGGTTTTTCTTATTTCGAGGAAGTAGAGAAAATATAATCAAGCTAAGAGTCATAAATCTAGGTATAATAAAGGGCAGTGTAGACCGCTTAAATCAAATATGACAAGATGCTGAGTCTACAACTAGAGTAACTTTGACATACAGAGTTGTATGTAGTTAGTTCGTTTCGAGCCATCAAATCGAACAGACATACTTCCGAAAACTCTCATTTTTGAATATACGGCAATCGTTCACAATTAAACTTCGTAATTATTTAATAATATCACCACTACCTAAATCCATAATTCCAACAATGCAAAAACAACGTTATGTTGCCACAGGATAAATTTTAGTAGGATTTCACATAGGACAGTAAATTAACAAATACATTCATATTTATTTTTTAAATATGCGATATTACAAAGAGATTCAAAATCATCATATTCATCTCCACGTATTCATAATTTATCACCATCGCCACATGATCCACTTCGCCTTCACCGCGATCATCATCATCATCATCGTAATCAGCAATCATCCTCACAGCGTACGATCGCCGAAATCGTAATCTTACAAATCGATCGGAAATCATATCGCAAACAGTGTTTTCTTTTCGTGTTCAATTTTAAACAAATTACATTCAATCAAACATCGTAAATTAAGTAGTACACATTTTGTTTAAGGATATTTGAGCATTGAAAAACATCAATCAGATAACATGTCAAGTTTGAAGAAGTTAAAAATTTCGTTTCCGCCGTTTTAATTAAATTCAAGTGTATTATTTGTACTCTTGAGCAAACATACATGGAAAATATAAAATGACCCGCCTTCGAATTGTTAACGATAACATTTCCAGTTCGTAGACGGTCCTTGGTATTCGTATATTTGCATTTTATCAATTATAAAACTGTATTCATCTGTATGTATGTATGTAACGCACCTATTGTTAATTGTTATTCTTGTAATAATAAATATTGTATTTGAGCATTTAGTAACATTCGGTAGAGTTAATGGCAACGTGTTGAGGTTCACTGTTCTGTTGTATGTAGTAGTTAAATATGTAAAAGCTATTCTCTGTTTATTGTTTATTTGTAATTGGTTAGTTTTGTAACTCTGGTGGCAAACCGCACGAAACAAATGAGCGCGGTTTATGCAATAAGTTATAATAAAACAGATAGAAGAGAAGTTAAATGATAAGATAATAGTATTAGTGTTTTTTCAGTGAATTTACTTTTTTTGTTGCTTTCTTACCTTTCATCCAAAAATAAATTGTTTTACAATAGTTTCTTTTGATTTCTTTTTTAATAAGAATCTTGCCATTTTTCAAGTGTCTGAATTAAACAAATTGCATTATATTTATTATATTTAATTTTGTCTCATTCAGACACTCATTTTTACATTTTCGTTTCTCGTCTCGTTTGTTTGCTTATTTTCTTAGTTCCTAGAACAACAACCCTGTCAAAGTTATACGCCAGTCTTATTTATTTACATTTTATTTATTCCTTCGAACGGTTTTCCCACGTGTTCCGATTTGCGGTGCTCCGAGGTCCGTGTGTTCGTTTTCTTCACTTCTTCGATACCGACGCGCGAATTTTCCGGCTTTGCGCGTCCTCCCCAAGCGGCGAAAATGCCATGCGCATTTTTGCTTTCGCTCCTTTCGCAATTTTATGTTTTTATGTTTTACAAGCGCGAACAACAACAAATAGACGACACGGGGCGACAGCACCGACCGTATGACAACAACCCCTTTTCCGCTTTTCCTATTTCGTTCACACACACACACACGCTCAGCTCGCCTAGTTGGCGCTTGTCGGTGTTGTTTTTCATCGCGTTTTATTCGAGTTTCCCAGCACTTTTCTTTACATTTTCCCTGGCGCTCCTTTCGTTTTATGTCGGTGTTTTCTTTGCGTTTTTACGTCGAACCAATTTCCATCTGCGGAGAAACGCGCGCGCGGGAGCAAGAATAACAGAAACGCGGAAAATAGCGCAAAGGAAAACGGTGCCGCGCGCGTCTTGAAAAAACATTGTTGCAAGTTGTAAAAACACTTTTCCTCGCACCGCTCGCCACCGCCACTACCAGAAAAACAAGCGCTAGCGGTTTATTAGAACACAAACGAACATCGGAACAATCGCACGTCGTCGAATATATCACAAACAATCTTCCTTCGAATGTTCGAAAATGGCAAGAAAATGATAGGTTTCACAGCTGATCATAATTGCGACCGTCGTTAATCGTATGATTCGTATGAATTTTCGTATACACTCGTATACATTCGAAAGGTTTTTGTTTTTTTAGTTATGTTCGCCAAACTTACTGCCAAAATACGTGTTATGCATTGGAAACTAATTTTATAATATGGTATAAGTGAAGAACAACGGTTTATAACCTTAGATTATATTATTACCAATAAATTACGCAAAAATAAACATAAAATAAACAAAACTCATAATTTTACTCACTTTTACTTCACCTACACCGCTGAGTTAAGAATCTGTTCAATATTTACTCGCGTTCGCGCTATTTATTCATTTAATCAACTATTAATGTTTGTTCGTTTCGTATTCATCGTTAAAATATTGCAGAAACAACAATTGTAGAAAATCAAACGTCTTAAGATTCTATGGCACTTGTAGTTTGTTGCAATACGTTTATTATCTTGTATTGTGTAAAAATATGAGAGATTAATAAATTCGTTTACGCGCAGTCAAAGTATAACAAGATTTAAGAATAAGAATATGAATGAGAAGGTAAAATCCGAATGTTAATTTTAAATTTTCCATACTGAACTAAAGAGAAACGAAAAACTCACACAACTCGAAGCAATATCCGAACGCTTGCTTTGTCAATTTATCAATTTCCACATTTATACAGAGCGTTACAAGAACTACCATTAAAATTTGATTTTCCTAGTGACTTCTTGTAATGTCCTGCGTGTATAAATGAAACAATACGGATAACAACATGATAGAAAGCAATCTTTTATCTCTCCTTATCCGTACCTAAAACCTAACTCTATTCGTTTCTCACACTGTATATCAGCATCATTTTGCATTGCACACGTTTCATAATCACTTTGTCTTTGTGTCACGCATCATCATCGTATCTCTTGTTATTTTTGAACGTTTAAATCTCGTAATGTAAATCGTATATATTCGTATAATATATGCGACGAATTTGTTTATTTTAGGTATAGTAATTTTGTGTGTGTGAATGTGTGTGTACATGTATTTTTTGTAATCTTAAATGCGTGTGATCAATCGTTAGTTGTAGTTGTCAATTATAATTATCTTTAAATGTATGTATATGAATATAATATTATGTATATTATGTACATAGATATAGTAGAAATAATTGCAATTTGTTATTAATAATAAGTATTCTTTCACTTATTCACTTTATGTATACTTATAGCTTGCAGCTTATTCTTAGATTGTAAGTTATTTTAATGCTTAGATTTCCGTAGATTTTAATGATCGATGAAAAATGTTATGAGAACTGATCTTCTGCGAAGATTACCTGTTTCTCTGTGTTGGGTTGTCTAGGACAATTTATTCAAACATTTAGAAATCATATTTTGACATAGGAAGAGTCAAAGTGTCATAAACCAGATAAATTTCGAACAAAAAACGAGTTTAAAAGCATTTAGGCAGCAATTTTAATAAGAATTAAAAGTTTCTGTTTCAATTAATTTAAAATCTAATCTAAAATTTTAAATTTTAGTGTTTAAATGTTTTAATAACTAAAAAAAACATTGTTTTATTCTGGTTTAGACCCATATTCTTCATCCTTGCCAAATATCCAAAGAGTAAATACATATTCCTTAACCGCATTTTTTATTATAATTAAAAATAATTAAAGTTAAATGCTATCACGATTCGATAAGTCTTTTAGCTCCAATTTAATTGTTTTACTTCCAATTTTGAAATTTTATACAATTTTGATAAACAACTAAAGAAATAATTTAAAAACGTGTTAAATATCTTAAAAGTCGAAATTTATAGTTAAAAAAAAAACGGAAAATGTTAGTAAGACTGCTTTGGAGGGATTGCAAAGCTTACAAGTTTGTTTAATTATCAGTTTTCAGTAGCGAGTAGTCTCCCGATGGCGCTGTGGTTATTTCTATTTCTATCTTTAATCCATTGTTTCGTTTCCTATTTATGTATGTAACAAACAAATGACACACGCACAACGTCTGTCTTATTGTTTATGGCAATTGATTCTGTTTATGCTACCTCTTGTAAAATCTGTAAACTTGTCAACAAAATAGCCGGTATCGGTAATAGCGGAACAATTAAATCTGTATCTGTCATCTGGCAACTGTTTATTGTAAATATAAATTCAAGTATTGTAGTATTTGCATTTGTATCTGCTTCGTTACGTTAACTATTTATGCAGTTTATGGAAGACACTGTAATTGCTATTGCGGCGACGGCGGCAAATTGGCTATTTTTAAATTACTAACATGAAATTAAATTAAACCATCTATGTTGAAGACTTCACACTAGTACAAAATGTCTATTTTTGCACTAGTACACGAAAATTGCTTTTCTATGCTTTAACCATGTATATACAAACAAAATAAAAGTGTTTTTAATAATTCCCAGTTGGGAATTAGTTATTTTTTATTGCGAATTGTTGCAAAAATAAAAGTTTAAAACCACCGGAAGACTCTCTTGTTATTAGCTTGGTGAAGAATCAGTGATTATTTAGTTAAACATTAATAAGAAAATGGCGTCGTGATCAAAGATTTGCTCACTGCGTAACATTTATAGAAAAATAACGCTATCAATCGTTTGTTTCTGGTTTATCCGCAAAACAGTAACCATTTAAAATATTACCTTTTACGTCGTATAATTGCTGTGTGTGTGTATCGCTAAGAAATCGAAAAAAGTGCAGAAAAAGAAAATTAAAAAGAAAAACAAAACAAATAATATCGTTTCACACCATCATTAATTAACGGCTAAATATAGGTTTTACAAAAAAAGTTATCAAATAATAATCAAAAATCAATATGCATAATATGTATAGGGTAAATTTACAAGTACTATGTAAAAAAAACAGAGAGAAATCGAGACAATTAATAAGTTGCATTAAAAAATAAAAAATAAACTATGAGATAAAAATTAATTCAGACGTGTGTGTCTTATGTGCCTTACAGTCGTATTGGACTACATTCATAATTCTCGTAATTTACGTGTTTAAATATATTTATATATAATTTTTATATATAAATCGTCTTTCGTTTATGTATACGCTTTGGAAATTCACTCGTCTGTCGAAAAACCGAAAAAGTGTCACTTTATCCCCGCCTACACACGCAATAATCAACCGTTAAATATCCATTTACATTTATAAAAATTAATCGTATACGATTTATGTGTTCATATCTTGTCTGTTCGTGTAAAATACATTCAACGAGGGGCCGCGCGCAATTTTTAGACTTATTTCATAAGTTTGTTTTTGTTGTTTTGATTGTGTAACGTATCATCGTATTTAATTGCACAATAAGTAGTAATATATGTACTTTGTAAAATCGTATCGTTTGTTCAAAACAAAAATTTAAGTACCGTCTTGTACCTCTCCCCAAGTTCAATTGAAAAACATTTGAGCTGCATATCATGAGATCATTTTCGCGCGTCGAATTTAGTGAGGTTATGAGAGATTACTTTTTGGGGGTTAAATTTAATTTAAAATTTCCATTTGTTTTAAGGTGAATTCCACACCCGGGGGGCCTGCATCCCGTATTAAAACTTACTCGATTATTACAAATATTACATTTAAGAGATCACATTTTGGGCATATTATTCATCATGTATTCATCTCGTACAACCGCGTTAAAAACTAAAAACAATAAAATCGTATTCGTTAAAAAACGTTTAAAAATCCACTAATCTAGAACGTGTGCGCAAATCAAAGTTTTGCAAACTCTTTGCTCGCGTTCGATAATGTGTAAAAATAGTATTGCGTTGCTTTCCGGGGGCTAATTAATCAAAAAAAAACAAACAAATATCGGCCGTCAAGTAAATAAAAGATAACACAGAATAAAGATTCGCCATTGTTTTCTATGCTAGCGAGCTTTTCTTGATTTGTGACTGTTTTTATCATTCTTTCATCCCCTTTGTCGACGATAGTGTTTTTTGTTTGTTCGTTATTATTTACCTTTCATTTTTATGTGTTTTGTTTGCGTTTCTTTTGTTTCCCCTCGTTTCTTTTGTTTCGAATCTTTCGTTATGTTGTGTTGCTTCGTCTAATCGATGTGTTGTCGTCAACCACCACCGGCAGTCGGTCACTGCGCAGGCAGAGCCCCATTCGGTGGCTTGAACTCTGGCGTACCGGAAGGGAACTGCGCCAGACTCGTCGGAGGATTGAAACCAGGTGCGTAGCACTGCGGGAAGTACAATTCTGGTTTGATGACGGCGCTTGGTGTGAGTGCCCCACGTCCGATATTCAATGCACCACCTAAAGTACCGCCAACGCTCGCGCCATTGCCTGTAGGGACGTTATTGTTACCACCACCATTGCCACCACCGGGCGTCGAACTGTTGTTATTCACGTTCAGTTTGGACTCGGCGGACTCGCGTCTCGACTTGGACGTGTGCGGGTTCATGTGATTATCGATGTGTTTCTTCACCTCCGGTTCGGTGGCGAACCTCCTGCGGCAATTGGGCATCGGACAACAAAACGGTCGATCCCCCTGATGCGTCCTGGTATGCTGGTCTAGAATAGCTTTCTGTCTGAAGTCCTTACCGCACTGCTGGCATTTATACGGTTTCTCGCCTGTGTGGATGCGCAGATGTTGGTTGAGGATCGTCCTCTGCCTGAAATTCCTACCACAGTACACACAACCATAGGGTTTCTCATTCGTGTGGATACGCAGATGCTGCGTGAGGTGCGACTGCTGTCGGAAACGCTTGCCGCACTCAGGGCAAGGGTACGGACGCGACTCGATATGTATGCAGCCATGCTGTAGGAGCGTCGACTTTTGTTTGAACTCCTTTTGACAGATGGGACAACGCACGTACAGCGGCATGCCGGCGGAGCGGCCGTGTTGTATCACGTCCGGAAGTCCTTTGCCATTGCCCTGTTGTTGCTTCAGATAGTGAAGGGCGCCGAAATTGGGCGATGTGCCGAAGACGGAATGGCTCATGCCTTTCTGGTCTTTGAAGTACGACGGGTACTGAAGGTTGCCGGTGACGCTGTTCGGTGAAAAGCAGCCGCGGTCCGTTTGCGAGTCGCCGTCTCCGTACGTCGACGCCACTTCTTCCTTACCTTCATCAGGCGGGAAGGGAACATCCTGCGGCCACAGCGTTGGGTGAATACCATTTTTAAACACCAGGTGAGGGCTTACATCTGTAGAAACAACAAAACAAAGAATATACCGTTAGTAATATAACAAATAACGTGTTGGTTAGTTGCTTGTGGGAGTAAATATCATGCATGGTCTTAGTTTAGGTTACGACCAAACTCTAACCGCCCGTTCGGCACAAACCCTAAACGCCAGGAATCAACTTTAAAACAGTAAAAGTGAAATTTCGTAAAAATTTTGCGGGCTGAAGGTAAGAGTGGCCGCCCTTTTTTCTCGGATTGAAAAAAAAGAGTAGCGAAGTTAGGGGGCGCTCGCCTTGGTGTGTGCGGACGTGCTGGTTGAGGATGGCCTTCTGTCGGAAGTGCTTCCCGCACTCCGGACACTCGTACGGCTTCTCACCGGAGTGAATGCGCAAGTGTTGGTTGAGAATGGCGCGCTGGCGAAAGGTCCGCTCGCAGTAGACGCACGCATAGGGCTTCTCGTTGGCGTGAATTCTCAGATGCTGCGTGAGATGTGATTGCTGACGGAAGCGTTTACCGCACTCGGGACAGCCGTAGGGACGGCTGTCGGTATGAATACGCTCATGCTGCAGCAGAGTACTCTTCTGCTTGAAGTCTTTCCCGCAGGTGAGACATTTAAACAGCCTCAGCTCATTGCCCAATCCTTTAGAAGAGTTCTTCATGCCGTTTTGCTGTTGTTGTTGCTGCTGTTGTATAACGTCCGGAAGGGATGCTGCTGCCGCAGCAGCGGCCGCAGCGGACCGGATGTCTTGCATGTTATTGTACTGATCCAACTGCGGCCCGTCGGAACCGAGGGACGTGAGTGCCATAACTCCGGGTTGTTTAAGATAGTGTAACGCTGAGAAGCTACCGGCGCCGAGCATGTGTGGCGGCATGGGAGGCGGTGCGCTTGGCGGTGGAGGTGCACGAGCATACTGTTGATAACTCTGTTGGTTAATATCGGAAGGTGGGAAACATTGGGACGCCGGCCGGGTGTCCATATCCATTGACGGTTGATCATTGGGGAGATCATCATCTCGGCTCTCTGCTTGTGTAGCGGGATAAGGAGATGGCGCCGGTGAGGGTAAGCTTTGGTCACGTGGTGCAACTGTATCGGCTTCAACACCCAGGGGAACATTGGCGGGATTCAGGGATTGTTGTGGACTGGCCGCGCCGGAAGCTGTCTGCTGTTGCGGAGGTGCTTGCTGCGCTTGTTGCTGTTGTTGTTGCTGCTGTTGCTGTTGTGCGGCGGCTTGTTGCTGTTGCTGCTGTTGGTGGGCGGCAAGATTGGTGGCGTAGCTCTCCTGCGAGCCCCACTGCATCTGCGTGCGATCAATGCCGTCTTTGTAGAGAACGTACGGTGCGCTCGAATCTGGAAATGTTTTATTTTTAGGAGACGCGTGCATTTTATCGCCGATGTGTAAAAATATTTCAGGAAGTCAAAGTCGAATCTCGACTTTTTGTGTGTTTGCAAGTTAAAGTTTATCATCATCATTATATTATCATTGCTGCATTAAAATTTCAAAAAGGTCAGGATTTTATCGGAGAATTACTGTGTAAATTTGCGATATCTACATGAAAAACGCACTTGTTTTGGTTTGATTTTAATTCGAAAGTGTTCATCATTTCTACGGTAGCATTTCATGTAAACTGGGTTGCCTAGAATTTTGAACAACAGAAGTTTGGTTATAATCGAATCATAAAACAATCCGGTAGTTGGAAATAAAAGGAATGTGCACCGCAATGAAAACGAAATGAACCCGAAAACAAAAACCAGTTTTATTTCATCTCGGGCAGCGAGACGCAGGCTCCGAAAGTAAAAGTAAGTTTTGTTGAGTTAGGTTATTATTGGAATGCCCGGCGCACGAAAGAATTCTATCAATCACGTGCGTTGGCCGGCCGCTGGCGCGCGCGGAGGGCGCATCGTTTTGCCGCGGCTGCATTGTGTGAGCATGCATATGCGGCGCGCGATTAAACCATGAATAACCAGTTTTCGAGTGTGTGCCAGCGTTCGGCAGGTCCGACCGCGCACCGTCTGGGCCGGTCTGGGCCATCCGCGCCACACATGCATGGTGCGGTTGTATGTGGGATCGAGCGCGACGGAGCGACGGATAAAAAATATATATTGTGGAAGATTAGTAGACGCAAGGTCAAGGTTTAGTCATCGCGGCCAGACTGCAGCGGCCGGCGGCGTTGGTGCTGGTCCAGGTTCGGCGAGTCGTCGCGTCGCCGCGTCGCGTTTGGACCGCGGAGCGAATCTCGTCGCCGGGTTCGTGCCCGACTGCCCGCGCCCAACACTGAGACTCAAGGTTCTTTTGCCCCGTCGAGCCAACCGCGAGAAGAACCTACTGAACTCGCTTTTACACCCATTAACAAAACAATTCGAGAAAACGGCACAGCGCGGCTGGTATCGCGCGCGCACACATTTGACTCATTAACAAAATGTGCTAAATTCGCTCAATTTTCGATCGAATTTTGTGCACAAAATAATTTAATTATATTCATGCTGAGTTTCAGCATAATAATGAAATGTAAAATAATTTCGTTGCAGGCGATAAAAAATGTAATGCAAATTTGCAAATCGCATGTGCATGCAAGCCCCTCCCCCGTCTTGAGTTTTGGGGGCGAATTTTTGCGCTATCTACCCCGAGATCTACATCGAAAAATTGCACGTCAGCGCGCGGCCAGCAAAACAACACGATTGCGAGACTCCGGCGGCGATCGGGCGCGAAGCTAGGAAAAACAACATCGAGCGAACAAACGCCCGTCGGAAAAACTGCAGGAAGACAAGTGAGCGCGCGCCAAACGAGAGAAAAAAAGCAGCAGCGAACGCTCCGGGAAATTTATTATCGAACCACCGCGCGCGCTCTTTCTTTTTTCATTTCTTTGTTCTCAAACATGTGAAAATAAATTGGTCGCGCAAAATTCGACGTGTTTCTTCATCGACTTGTTTTCCTTCTTGGGGTGGTCGTTGTGTATGCAGGAAATGTTCAGCACAAAGACGTTTACCTTGGGAAATGCAGTACATGATCTGTCTGGGCACCTTGAGGCCGGCGGCCAGACATGCGGCGAACGACGCCGAAAAGTTGATCGCCATGACTGGTAGGGCGCGCGTGAATGAAGCAGCGGGGGTGGCGGCGGCGGCGACGGCGGCGACGACCGCGTGGCCCACGCGCTCCTGTTGCGTGCGGGTGCGTCGGTGCGTACGCGCGGCGGCGTCACTTCACGCACCACATGGCACTGCCTTACACACTCACACACCGTACACTGTCCTGCCTCAACGCACTGCGCGAGGACTCGTCCGCACTCGGCACACGCAACTCCATTTAGTTGCAACCGCACAACTTCACGCCAAACACTTTTGAAATAGTTTCACTCCGAAATGATGCAAGTCGGTGCAAAGAAGTGTACGAACTGTTCTTTGTTTCTGAATCGTAGGGGGTGGTAGTTGGTGTGTGGTTTAGTACGAGTTTTTCCCGCGTGCTTGGGTGGTTTTCCGTTCGGCCCGCGCGCGCCGGTGCGCTTCTTGCGTGTGTGGTGTGTTCCCGCTTCCAGGCTGCTGGCTGGTGGTGGCTCAGGCTCGCTGCACGACTGGCTCGCGACGCGGCGACCGCGACATGATCCGTCCGTCCGTCCGATTCGGCGGCCCGCGAGACTCTCTCTCGGTCCTCTCCGGCGCGGCGCGAGATGAACGACGGCGTGGAACGAAGAAGAGGAAGCGGGGCGGCGGGGCGGCGCGGCAGCAGCAGCAGCCCGCGACGGACGCGATGCACATGCAGTGGGAAGTGAGAGCGCGCGCCCGGCCCCGGCTGCACCCGAATCAATATCACACGTTATCACAAAAAACCTTCCGCTATCCGAACTATACAACCCACCCCCGCCTTCGCCGCCGCCGTCTCACTCGCGCACACACTTTGACCGCCTCCTTTTTCCGTCTGCGCAGACTGTGGTGCACTCGACGCGCGACTTTCGAGTTGAAAGGACCGAATGCAGCTAGCTTCTCCTTGTCTTACATGATCGCCACCACCGCCGCTGCCGCCGTCGCCGCCGTCGGAGTAACGCAATGCCGGCTGCCGTTAGGCTGCTGACCTACGCACTACTTGCAACGAAACTTTGACACAATTTCCACCCTCAACATCAGAAGCAAATAAGATACAAAACGACCGCGTCCGCTTACTCTCGCCGCCGCCGAGACATTGAGATTGAACCGGGAAACGTGCCGCCGCCAGCGAGCCGCACCGTGCCGGCTCAACTTCGCCTCTAATTCGATTTCCCTTCTAATTGTTCTCACTTTTACTTGATCCTCAACACTTTTCTCAAAAGTCACATCAAAACCAACAAACTTTCAAATATTTTATTTTTTGATATTTGACATGAAGGGAAAAAATCGTTAATAATGTCATTTCATTGAAGAACGCGTCAGCGCTGCGCTTTCACATATAAACGACATGAACGACACAATTGGCGTTCTTTTTCTCTTGTAAGCTTTTTAGCCAGCAAGGCTAGACATGGAAGTCTTGAAGATGCGAGAGAGTGCAGCCCGCCGCTTCGAAAATCCAATCGCGACGTGCAATCTCCGCGACCTTCTCAAGGGTTTCGAGTTCCTCCGCAAGCCGGCGCGCAGCATAACCCTTCCTCGGCCCCCTTCCCGCACCGCACCGCCGCGCGAACTTTACCAGACTATGCTGCCGCTGTGCACTGGCTGCACACTCCCCCGCACGTCGCCAGACGGGTACCCTAAAGTCCAAACAATAACAACCCGACCGCGACCATGCGTTCGGTTGCGTCGTTGCTCATTTGCCTGACGCTCGATGCGCATTTCTGGATTTTTCGTCACGTAAACAATGCCAGCCGCGCGTTATTCGATACGCATTTAAGGTTCACCGAGTGGATTGAACCGGCACTAAAATGTAACTTAAATCTGGCTAATAATCGGCAAAAAGTTATCATCACTATTTTACGTCGGGTGGATTGTGATGAAAAGGGAAACGAGAATGAAAAAAAAAAAAACATAAATTACGAATGCGTGCTGCTGGTGAGTGCGTTCATCTATAGTTAGTTACACACGACGATGCCCCTTGGCCCCCTTGGTCTTGGCTGGCAGTCGCGATTGTCGACCTCGCGCGCGCCTAAAAATACGCAGCCCTAGCCGGCGCAAAATTTTGCGCGGCGCGTACCGACGCCGGACTATTTAAAAGTGAATCACAGCGAACGCGACGCGTAATACGCACCACGCGAGCGGCGGCGGAGGGGACGGGCGAGAGGGGTTGGTCGGCGACGACGTCGGTACACGCACGTTGCGGTTACGCGCCCGTAGTTCATTAACATTGCAGCGCACGTCGCGAAATGTGTGTGTACAAAAGCGGGACAATGACACCGGCCACAGCCGCAAAGTTTAAGACTTTGCCAATAACGCCGGTTGCGGCGGGCGGTTGATATGCGCAATTATGAAAAATGATGCCTGGATGCATAGAGTGTGGTATGACATGACGATGAATAATAGGGATCAGCACTCAGATGTTGAGCGATGGCTGGAGAGTGCAGCGGCGCCTGTGCATGTTCGATACGGATCAGGTGCATCGACGCCGGCGGCGGTGCGGCGGCAGGGGGGTGAGGTAACGACTGGGGCCGGGGAGTAAAAGAGCGCGGAAAAGAAGAGTTGCTTGAGCCCCGGCTTGTGTTGCAGTTCTGTTCGCATATTGACACCCCGCGGCGGGGAGCAGCGCGCGCGGTAAAAATCGATGCGTCGGCGTCGGCGGCGGCAACGTCGCCTTCTCGCCGGTCTGAGCTGTGTGTGCATGTGCATGCGGGCCGAAACCCGGGGAATGAAAAATTATCGTGTGCAGCGCTCCGAGGAGGAAAAAAAACTACTGTCACTACACACGTATATCGACCGTGCCGAGCGCGCGGAGGCGGAGGCGGCGGTGGCAGCGCCGGCGGAGGACTTGGGTTGGCGACCGAGCACGAATGCACCCGCACCGAATTCGTGTGCTTCGCGAAAAAAGACGGAAAGAATTTCCCGGCGCGCCGCCTCCTGCACCCGCCCTCAACCCGCGCTTCCATAGCGCTGCTGTCCATCCGAACACATCCAAACTGACCGTTCGTTCGGTTGCTTCTTTTTCTTTTCAGCTGCACGTATGCACCACCCGCTGAACCCCAGGCGAGCCGTTGTCTATCAAACCGATATCGCATGCCATTTTTCGAAGGTATAAACGAGCGAGCGCATGCATCGCGGGTTGTGGGGGGCGGCGACAGACCCTCATCCCCCACGACTCATAGCAGTGTCGATGACCGGCTAGCACGCGTAGCGCAGCTCTCTTTACGTCATCGGGAAAACGTCGCCTTCGGGCGTCTAATGCTCCTATCTATCAATCCCGTTAACAGCCGCCGCGCGCAAAAACACGCCGAGCATAAACCCTAGTCTGGGACTGGCCTGTCTAAAGCGTCCCGGCATCGATCATCAAAATCTACTTAAGCAGTCTTAACCTAATTTGTGCGCAGTGCATTTCGCGTAAATTCGAACATGCACCGGTGTGCGGTCGGCGCGAAGGTCGCGTTGATTTATCGCCGGTCCCCATCGGCGGCGGGGGCTAGCGGTCAGGCACAGGCGTCTACCCGCGACCCACGTATAATAATTCTCCGACGCTGAGAGAGGCTGGCCATCGGAAAGAAACCGGACGCAGTGTGCGCGGAGCTCCAAGGCCACAAATTTGCAAACGCCGGCCGAATAACAAGAATTATCCTCGAAACAAAACGAATTCATTGCGCTAAACATCCGCCATGTTTTTATTTATCACTTTACACTACTCTACGATTTACTACGAAACTATACGCATTGCAAATCTATGAATGAACAAATTGCACCGCAAAATTATTAAATTACTCGTGCATTCGCGTATTGAACGATGGGTTTTTATTGGTTTTAACCGCTGAATGGCATGCGTTTTTCTCTTTCGCACTCGCAGCACAAAAGTTCGTCAAGTTTTAGCATGCAACTTCAACTAGTACTAATTGCTAAGTGTTCAAGATGTTCAACTATTTAACTATGCACGACTAAAGCACCATAGTTAATTATTACAGCTTTATGCGCCTTGTTACACACCTAATCATAGGAACATTTGAAAATATGCGCGAAAAATTGCACTTAACGGTTTACAGCTTAAAGTTTATTTCCCTGCGAAATGAAGAATCGTAATGCGTGAAAACCGCAGTCGATGTCTGACCACGTTTTTTTTTTCGGTTGTTTTTGATCATTTTCGTTGCTTTTCCCATTGATGCACCGAGAAATCTGCGGGCGGAGTCCAACCGCAAACAATTACGGTTCGTCTGATCTGTAGCCATCAATGCGCGAAATACGTGCGGATTCTGATTTACAACTAGCGAAAATAAGCGTGCGGAACGGTGTTAATTAATAAATTGAATTAGTCACACTACGGAATTTGCGTGGAAAAGATAAACAATTTTTATTTTATAGAAAAATAAATTTGTTTGAATGTTTCAGTGTTCAATTGACAGTGACACATATGAAACAGCTGAATTAGATTCGCAGTCACTATGGTAGCTCCTTACTGGTTATAATAGTCACTAAAGTAACAAAGTAACGTGCATTTAGCCGGCTGACAGCGAGCATCCCATTACGATGAAACGCCAGCCAACTCGAAGACTTGACTACCGAACGCACGAACTGAACTTATTACGACTTATTATAACCCTTTCGTATACAAGGCAAAATTTTATTTTGATGATTTAGATTCTAGTGGAGAATGTAACACTCGGTATGTTTGTGTGAGGCACAGAAGTCCCTCTCGACTCGTTATTAAGCATTTTTCCAATTTTAATTCATGCCTCGCTCCATCCATCTCTCATGCCTCCTGCCCGATAGAAACGGCGCAACACACAAGATATGAATATTTCTGCATCCTGCTGGACGGACGTGTGTGCATTATACGAAGCATCCATCCGTACGTAATGATTGCGGATCAATCATTAAAGTGGTCAAGTGGGATGAGCCTGCGCGCAGCAAGAGAGACGAACGGCACCATCTACACGCCATCGAAATATCAAAACTCATCAATACGCATGAAATAAAAGACAGCCACGTACAATGCAACATGCAGCACTAGATGCGGCGGATGGAGAGAGGCTTCTGCTGGCTGCGCAAATTGATGTTTTATTTTATTTCGCGGACGGTCATTACGAATGCCGTTTAATGCGGCAAATTAACATGCGCTGGAGAGAAGTAGGAAACCCAACGCGGATAATTAGCGACCACGGCGACGCGAAGAAACTGTATCGAGTTGCAAATTGCAAATCTAGCCTAATCTTAGATATAACCCAGCCTATAACAACGATGCGCTGATAGAAAAATTGCGAAAACCTGCTGCTGCTGCATGTTGTGCAGAAGCAAGTTCCTAATAAGTGATAACGATTACACACGTATCATCCATCTTGGAGTGTGCATCTCGTGTGATGCCTGCACGAATTCAATTCGATCGCATGCGAGTACGAGTGCATGTAAACGCGAAATAAACGCACATCGAGCCTGCAAGGTTAAAGCAACAAACCGGCGAACGTTTAATGTTCATTCTGCTCGGGGGGCAATTCGGGAAAGAGGCAAAAAGGACGACCGGCATGCACGCACGTCAA